GTATATTCTCATACCTATTGCTTATTTTTACTTGTTTTAAACAAATCCATTGCCTGTGCCGAAGATTTTCCCTTTTTTCTTCATTTCAGAGTTAATTTTCCCTACATTAGTTAATTTTGATTATCTGAATTTCCAAAATATTCCTTGAAAAATCTTTGTTTTCAAAATTCTTGTTAAATCTATTAATATAATATATTAACGCCAAGGGTACAGACATTTGAGCAAAAGTCCATCTTAATTTTAATTTCCCACGGTCATTTGAGATGTGTGATGTGAGGAATAATTATAAGTATACATTTTTATTCTATATTATTGATTATTTTCTTTCTCTTTTAAGGTTTGATTTAGTGCGCTCAAAATAGGACGTTCACCTTTTTCTCTATTATTAATTATTCTTTCTTCTGCGGCTTTGATTGAATAACAGTAATCCAGAACTCCCTTTTTTTTGACTTGAGATATATTTTCTTCTTTTATTTCCCCTTCTTTGGATAACTGAGTCAATGCATTACCATTTATTATTTCTATTTCTGACATATGTTCAGTTTTATAAACATTACCAGTCAGAAAAAATACCACGAAATATTCTTTCAAACTTTCAGTAATGAATCACATTTTCCATTGCAATATCACGTAATATACGCAATTATTTTTAGTTAGACTATATATATATTCTAAAAATTCAATAAAACCTATGGAATTTATTTTATGTTTATTATATTTTAATAACAATTGTTCAATTTATAAATATTACAAATAAAGTTATATAATTTACATGACATTAATTACTACACACGCACACCATAATACATTTTTTATGATAAATCATTTACACGACACATTCTACGTCTATGAAGTGCGTGACGTGGAGTCATTCTAATTACTTTTTTTTTTGAAATCATTTAGCAAATGTCAGTTGAGATGAATGAATTTCTTTGTTGGATTTTGGGCTATAATAATGTAGTCACAAAGAATTTCCATAATTAATATATGCATTAAACCCTTTTTATGTAAAATTATTTGGGTTAAAACTGTACCTGGAGTTGATAGTATCGAACTTCATTGTGATAATGGTTTTTTTTTTTGTCCTTCATCTTTAGAGATATGTTATGCAATTTAATATTTTAAATTACGCGTTCTAAGCTTGAGAAATATAGTCACCTTCTCTACCTAATACAGCTTTGCAAAATCTTTTGACAAAAAAAAATTAAAAATTGCATTATAAACTCTCTCATTAAAAACTTCATTAAATTATTTTATAATCTAAATTTAAATTTTGGAAAGGTGTAATCTTCTTTGCATATTAGATATTCCCACATCTTGTGTTCTAAAAACATTTTAAACCTGTAATTAAGACCAGCCACCTTGAAACTAAGTGGATTAAAGTTTATCAATTCCATAAACAACACAAACAATAGGTTACCAATTTGACAATACAATAACTCTCCTTAATTGGTGATTTATTTGAAAAAAATCAGCCGCTTTTCTGTCTCAGAAAAATATTCAAAAAAGATTACTAACAAATATAAAACTGCATTGCATTAATGCTATTGCATAAACTAGTTCGAAAAAGTAGCTATAACATCATTAATTTTCCAAATTAAGTCTTTCATAGAATACTTTTTCAAAATCTATTTATACGCATAAGGAGCAGAGCCAAATCGTCAACGATTCAATTTCGTAAAAGTAAATCACATATAATGATGCTTTTATTTCAAATTCGATTAGAACAAAATAGTTTAACTTTGAGAGGGTCATCTACGGAATCTGTAGGTTGCGTTCTACGCGGACAGCTCGTGTTAGTAATTACAGAACCTATCAAATCCAAAGAAATTAAATTGACATTTCAGGGAAAATCAAAAACTGCGTGGGATAGTGGTAAATGTTGAATATTTTAATTTGTGTATTTCTTACGTTATTCATTACTTGTAATACTCAATCATATATATTTTTTTTATCTTTTACTTAGGTAATATTACAGAAACCAGCGAAAAGAGAATATTATATAGACATGATTGGGTCTTCTTTGCTGCGCAAGAGAAATATCATGTTCTTCAGCCGGGCAATTATTGCTGGAATTTTGAATTATCCCTTCCAGGAAAATTAATAGAAACGATTGAACATTGTAATAGAAGTTACGTCCGATATAGCCTTAAAGCTACTTTAAAAAGACCAACTTTCTCACAAAATATTCATACTAAACGTAAAATCCAAATCAATAGATGTTTGATGTCTAATTATTTTAATTCACTGCAAAGTGTTGTTCTTATTAATTCATGGAGGAATAAAGTTGAATATGAATTTTCAATCGGAACAGGATATTTCTGCCTTGAGGATAAGATTCCAGTAGAACTTATTATGAAACCTTTAATAAAAGGAATAAATATTCATCGATTTAATTTAATTTTTGAAGAGCACAGAACCTATAACATTGGACCGAAAACCATGAAAGAAGTAGTAATAATTGATATAAAGAGAGATTCATCACCAATCCCTTTTGTTGATGAAACTTGGATTAAAAATGAAGAAATGTCAATTCCAAAGTTTCGGTGTTTAGCAGATTCTGAAAATAACCAAATTCGTATCGAACATAAAGTAAGATTTGATGTTACATTTCAAATTGAAGATAAAGATTATTATGAAGTTACAGCAAGTTTACCTGTCATAATTACTTCATGTCCTAGTCCAATTGGTACTATGTTTGATACACTTCCTACCTACAATAGTTATTATTTTGATAGAGAAATCAACGAAGATTTGTCATCTTCAATGCCTTCCGATAATAATAATATAACTTCCAGAGACAATAATTTATATAATAACTTATCATCCAGTAATAATAATAATAATTTACCTTCATACGATAGCATAATATATTTAGTTCCTTTGTCAATTAATGATTCTATTTTACCACCAGCTTATGACACCATTTAATATTCAGTACATTAAACAAATAAAAATTAAACACAAGCATCTTTCTTATCATTTCCTTATTAACAAAATAGAATATTGTTTGCAAGACTATTAATTTTCCTTTCTAAAATTTTTTTTTCGTGGTACATCTATTTTTTTTTGTAAAAAAGTTTATCTTCATTCTTAACTATATTAATGAATTTATGAAGAAAATGTAATCATTATTTTTTTAGTAATAATTTCTGGTAAATACTATTATTATTACTAATTTTATATATCAATTTATTGTATATTAATTAATGCATAAAATAAAATAAAATAAATAAAATTGAAACAAATACAATCGTTTACAATGTTTATAATATTTACCATTGTTTCAAAAAAAAATTTATTTTGCCTTTCATCATCTCTTCTTCACACTCTCACTCTCTATCTGCCCTAAATTATCGAATAAAATTTAAAAACTAATGTGTTAATTCATTATATCTTATTAGACATTTTTTGCACACATTACATTGAACAAAGTAATCAAACAGCAAGTTTTGGAAAAAGTATCTTTTCAAAACCATCTTTGGTTGCAATAATATTAAAAATTATTATTATTATTATTTTATAAAAAATTATAATAAAAGCTATGGGTAACAAACAAACGTGAGAACGACGACTTTTATTATTATGCCTATCGCATTATTATTAAATTAATTTAATATATCCTTTCTTTACTCAATGAAACATTCCTTTTCTTCTTTCATCATTGTATAATGGTGGTCTAGGTGAGGTCCAGATGGTGGGTGGGTGGCGTATTATGCAACATTGTGTGTGTGACATATTTGCGTGACGTATTAGCGCTATTGTATATCCTGTGTGGTCGCGCATTTTTTTTTTAGCCACAATTGTAATAAAATTTTTAAAAACATTAAATATATTGTTACAGCGATCTTTCTATATTTAGTAAATAAAATGAAAAAGAGTATGTTATTTATTATCAATTTCAATTACAAGAGAGTTACAGCGATCTCTCTATATTTAGTAAATAAAATGAAAAAGAGTATGTAGTTATATTTATTTATTATTAAATATAAGAGTTACAGTTCTGTCGGAAAAGACTGACAATTAAATTATTATGACGGTTAACTCGTCCAGTTTTATTCGGAAAATTTCCGTAATACATATATTAATATATTAAAATTTAATAGTTTATTACGTGCCCATTTTTTTCTAATAACAATTTAAGACATAAACTTTTATCAATTGCACCCCATTCCCCTGCTTTCAATTACATAAAAACGTCTTGTGTAATGCTTTTTTTTCAATTATCATAATATCAACATTCTTTTCGACATTCCTTTTCATTATTCCCCACAGGTTTTCAATCGATTAAGATCCGGAACTGTAAATTTTTTTACATTTTTTTTTTTTTCGGTTCTGCGAAATTCCTTGTTACACATTTATTTTTTTTTTGAATTTATTAACAATTAAAACAGATTACAAATAAAAAAAAAATAAAAATTACGACATACAAAAAACATCATTCCTGTAAGAAATCTTTAGCGAGAGTGCAAAAGTGTTTGAAAAGTGATTTAGCGAGAGTGCGAAAATATTTGCAAAAGTGATCAACGTCAGACTATATAAAGTACATGAAATAATTATGACAAGTAAAACTTGCTGTAACTTCGTAATAATCTTTATTTTCAATTGAAATGTAACATCAAATCTTACATTATGTTCGATACGAATTTGGTTATTTTAAAAATCTGCTAAACACCGAGACTTTGGAATTGACATTTCTTCATTTTTAATACAAGTTTCACCAACAAAAGGAATTGATGATGAATCCCTCTTTATATCAATTATTACTACTTCTTTCATGGTTTTCGGTCCAATGTTATAGGTTCTGTGCTCTTCAAAATCAAATTAACTCGATAAACATTTATTCCTTCTATTAAAGGTTTTATAATAAGTTCTACTAGAATCTTATCATCAAGGTAGAATATCCTGTGCCAATTGAAAATCCATATTCAACTTTATTCTTCTATGAATTAGGAAGAACAACACTTTGCAGTGAATTAAAATAATTAGACATCAAACATCTATTGATTTGGATTTGGATTTTTACGTTTAGTATGAATATTTTGTGAGAAAGTTGGTCTTTTTAAGGTAACTTTGTTATACCGAACGTAACTTCTATTACATTGTTCAATCTTTTGTATTAATGTTCCGGGAAGAGCTAATTTAAAATTCCAGCAATAATTTCCCAGCTGAAGAATGAGTAATGATTGATTATTATGAGTAATGAATAGCGTAAGAATTATACAAATTAAAATATTCAGCATTTACCACTATCCCACGCAGTTTTTGATTTTTTATTGGATTTGATAGGTTCATTAACACGAGATTAACCAGTTAATCGCATTAAACAGTCAACTGGTTAAAATATTTTTATACAAAATTTGAATCTAGTTGACCGTTAAAAATATAATAAATATAATATGATTATTGGAAATTTTATATATTTAACAAAAACAAAAGTCGAATAAAAAAACAGAACTATTAAACTGTAATGAATTCAAGATTAATTATTTTCACATAATTAATTAATAAATTAACTGGTTAATTAATTGGTTAACCGGTAAAGATTTTTTGGAGGTACCGATCTATACCTCTTAGAAAGATCCGTGACTCACTTCAAATTAATCATCTTGTTCTAATCGAATTTGAAATAAAAATGTCATAATATATTTCACGAAATTGAATCGTTGACGATTTAGCTCTGCTCCTTGGCATAAAAAAAAATTATATTTAGAGTATTTTATGAAATGCTTAATTTGGAAAAATTTTCTCAATCAGTGATGGATGTGTTATACTAATACTAATCTATTATTAAAATTCTTTCTTGTAGTGTGGCTACCTTTTTTGAACTAATTTATGCAATAGCATTAATGCTGTGCAGATTTTTTATATTTAAATATTTTTCATTTAACAATGAAAGCCAAGATTTTTCCGGATTTTCCGGAGTTTAAAGTGGCTGATTTTTTTTGGAAATAATGCGCAAAATGACACAAGTTTAGTCAATGTTGGCAATTAAGGAAATTACTATATTATTTATTTGGGTACTTATTGTTTGCATTATTTATGTAATATTATAGTAATGATTGATCACTGAGCTTCAAGGTAACTTTCCAAATTTTAAATTTAGGTTACTAAGGAAATTTATTAATAATAGTGTTTATAATATAATTTAAATTCTTTGTCAGAAGATTTCGGCAAAGCTGAATTAGGTAGAGAAGATGATTTAAAATTTGACCGATTGCATACTATAGGTATTACTTATTCCACAAGCTTAAAACGCGTAAATTATAAAAAATATTTAATTGCATAATATATCTCTGAAAATAAAAGACAAAAAACCATTGTCACAATGATCAACTCCAGGTACACTTTTAAACTCAAATCATTTTAATTCTTTACAAAAAAAAAGGTTTATTGCATATATTAATTATGACGATTCTTTGATTTTCTTTGTGACAGCACTATTATAACTCAAAATTTAACAAAGAAATTTTAGAACCTTACATTTATCTTAACTGACAATTGTTAAAAAAAAGTAAATATGTATTAATTAGAGTTACTACACGTCACGCCTTCATAGATGTAGATGTATCGTGTAAATGATTTTTCATAAAAATGTAGTGGTGCGTGTGTCGTAATTAATGTCATGTAAATTATATAACTTTTATTTTTATTTATAAAATATGAATAATTGTTATTACTAAGTATTGTGTCAATATATAAATATATATAAAGTCTGAATAATTGTTATTACTAAGTATTGTGTAAATATACATATCATATGTTGTGTTGTTTTGATGAATATAGTATGAGGGTGTGGGGAAGGATTTTTATTATTTTTTTTTTATAAATGGTGTAACTAAAATACTAAAAATAAATTGGTATTTTTTCTTAATTAATAATTTATATTATTCTACTTAAAATAATTTGCATATAAACAGTTTGAAATTTTATCATAGTTTCGAGAAAATTTTCAGACACCAAATTTTTATTTAAGAAATATCCCGAAAACAAAATTTATATCAAATCTAATACTTTTTTTAAATATTATTTCAAAATACTTCAAAAATGGTTCCTTTAACTATCAACCCTTCACCTTTATTTCAAATTCGATTAGAAGAAGATACTCTTACTATGCGTGGTACTAATTCGGAATCTATAGGATGTGTTCTTCGTGGTCAACTTGTTTTGTCTATCACTGAACCTACTAAAATTCGTGAAATTAAAATGAATTTC